TCCTGCTCTCTCAGAGAATGGAGGTAGGGACCTCATTTTTCCTGATAAATTCCATTTCAAAGGGATGGCTCTCAGGTCTTTGAGAAAGATTTTCCTAGGCATTAAAACTGGCTAGAGGCTGAGATAAAATTTACATCTGAAAGGGACAGAGAAAGAATTTGCAGTACAAGCTTTCTAAAGTAAATGCTCTAAGAAAAGGGTGACCAGGGTCTTATAGGCGGAAAGAAGTTTGTCTGAAGTGTAGTCAAGCTGAGGGGAATGTTAAGGCCTTCTTAGTCAGAAGTCAAATGTATTTGCCTGTTTTGCAAAGATGGTAATAAGTCTGTCAAACGTCATACTAATCTTGAGGGAAGAAAACCAAAGATCCAGTAGCCAATCTTAAAAGATTTTCAAGTTTCTATCCATTTGTATTCCTAGGTTCCTCAAACCCACAAGTCCCCTTCCTTTCTCTAACAGGCTTAGATGTAGGGGAGAAAGGAAAATACGAGGAGTACCTTGAGTTTTTGCTTGTTTCTGCTGTAACACCTGTTAATTTTAAATAGCAACTTCTGATTCTGTATCTGGCAGAAAAACCAGTTCCAGGATTCATTGATTTTTTGAAAGGTTTTTCGTGTCTTTGTCTCCTTTAGTTCTACTCTGACCTTAGTTATTTCTTGTTTTCTGCTAGATGAAACTGTATGATTCTGAACTCACCTGTGCTAATGCACAGGCAATTATAGCTTTCTTTATTATTCTTCACCAAAGACAATCAAGCCCTTTTGGTTTATATCCTCTCCCAGGGACCTGACACAAAGACAATCCACAGAGCCTGAGCCAAAAAATATATATATATATTTGGGAGTCAGCACACTTAAAACTGTACATCTCTCAAGAGACATTTTGAACTTAATATCCCTGAAAATCTTTCAGCAGCCTTCCACTCTATCACCTCTAAATCTGGGGCCTCTGTTTCCTTTTTTTCAATGTACTATTCAACTGCTAACAATTTTACTCCATCTACCAGATCTACCGACACCTCTCTTAAGAAGCATCAAGTACCTTCACCGACTTCATAATTATAGAGTTTTTGTTTTGATATTGTCACCATTAGCCTTTGTACAGAATTCACCACTGTTTAGCAATCAGCTCTTCTTTGATTGAGGCTTTTTCTCCCCCTTTGATTAATGATAATGTGCTTTTTTCTTTTCTATGTCTGTCATGGATTTGACTTTCTGGGTTTATGTCCTAAATGTACAAATACCCCAAGGATCTGTCTTCACCTTCCTCTGGTCTTCCTACACCTTCTTCTTGGGATTAGTTTGTCCACTTCCTTAGTTTCAACTACAACCTTTCTGCTGATGACTTTTGTTTTGTTTTGTTTTTGTGAGACCCAGAGTCTTGCTCTGTTGCCCAGGCTGGAGTACAGTGGCACAATCTAAGCTCATTGCAACCTCCGCCACCTGGGTTCAAGTGATTCTCCTGCCTCAGCCTCCCAAGTAGCTGGGATTACAGACATGTACCATCACGCCCAGTTAATTTTTGCATTTTTAGTAGAGACAGGGTTTCACCATGTTGGTCAGGCTGGTCTGGAACTCCTGACCTCGTGAGTTCTAATTTGATTGGACTGTGGTCTGAGAGACTGTTTGTTATCATTTTTGTTCTGCATTTGCTGAGGAGTGTTTTACTTCTAATTATGTGGTCAATTGTAGAGTAAGTGCCATGTGGTGCTAAGAATGTATATTCTATTGATTTGGGGCGGAAATTTCTGAAGATGTCTATTAGGTCTGCTTGGTCCAGAGCTGAGTTCAAGTCCTGAATATTCTTGTTAATATTCTGTCTTGTTGATCTGTCTAATATTGACAGTGGTATGTTAAAGTCTCCCACTATTATTATGTAGGAGTCTAAATCTCTTTGTAGGTCTCTAAGAACTGGCTTTTTCCCAATCTGGCTGCTCCTGTATTGGGTACATATATATTTAGGATAGTTAGCTCTTCTTGTTGCATTGATACCTTCACTATTATGTAATATTCTTCTTTGTCTCTTTTGACCTCTGTTGGTTTAAAGACTGTTTTATTAGAGACTAGGATTGCAACCCCTGCTTTTTTTTTTTTTTTTTTGCTTTCTATTTGCTTGGTAAATATTCCTCCATCCCATCATTTTGAGCCTATGCGTGTCTTCCCACATGAGATGGGTTTCCTGAATACAGCACACTGATAGGTCTTGATTCTTGATCAAATTTGCCAGTCTGTGTCTCTTAAGTGGGGCATTTAGTCAGTTTACATTTTTTTTTTAAGCCTTCTCCTGTCAATTTCTCAAACTAATTCTCCCTCCAGTTTTGTTACTTTGCTGGAGAGTTGTGATCCTTTGGAGGAATAGAGACATTCTTGTTTTAGGAATTTTCACACTCGTTTCTCCCCATCTTCAGGGATTTATCTATCTTTGGTCTTTGAAATCATTGAACTTCGGAGAGGGTCTGAGTGAACGTCCTTTTTGTTGATGTGGATACTATTCCTTTCTGTTTGTCAGTTTTTCTTCTAACAGTCAAGTCCCTCTGCTGCAGGTCTGCTGGAGTTTGCTGGAGGTCTACTCCAGATCCTGTTTGTCTGGGTATCACTGGCAGAGGCTGAAAATAGCAAAAATTGCTTCCTGTTCCTTCCTTTGGAAGCTTCATCCCAGAGGAGCACCTGCCAGATGCCAGCCAGAGCTGTCCTGTATCAGGTGTTTTTCAGCCCCTACTGAGTGGTATCTCCCAGGCAGGATACCTGGGGATCATGGACCCACTTGAGGAGGCAGTCTGTCCATTATCAGAGCTTGAATGTTGTGCTGGGAGATCCTCTGCTTTCTTCAGAGCTGCCAGGCAGGGATGTTTAAGTCTGCTGAAGCTGTGCCCACAACCACCCCTTGCCCCAGGTGGTCTTTCCCAGGGAGGTGGAGGTTTTATCTATAAGTCCCTGACTGGGGTTGCTGCCTGTCTTTCAGAGATGCCCTGCCTAGAGAGGAGTGAATCTAGAGAGTCAGTCTGGCCACAGCGGCCTTGCTGAGTGGTGGTGGTCTCCACTTAGTCCAACCTTTCCAGTGGCTTTGTTTGCACTGTAAGGGTATAACTGCCTACCCAAGCCTCAGCAATGGCGGGCACCCCTACCTCCACCAAGCTCAAGCATCCCAGGTCAAGCTCAGACTGCTGTGCTGGTAGAAAGATTTTCAAGCAAGCAGATTTTAACTTGCTGAGTTCCCTGGGGGTGGGACCCACCAAGCCAGAAGACTTGGCTCCCTGGCTTCAGCCCCGTATTCAGGGAAGTGAACAGTTCTGTCTCACCGGTGTTCCAGACGCCACTGAGTATGAAAAAAAACTCCTGTGGCTAGCTCGGTGTCTGCCCAAATGGCTCTGCAGTTTTGTGCTGAAAACCCAGGGCACTGGTGACATAGGCACCAGAGGGATATCTCCTGGTTTCCAGGTTGCAAAGACTATGGGAAAAGTGCAGTATCTGGCCTGGAGTGCACTATACAGTCCCTAATGGCTTCTCTTGGCTAGGAGAGGTAGTTCCTCTACCCCTTGTGCTTTCTGGGTGAGGCGATGTCCCACCCTGCTTCAGCTGGCCCTTCTTGGGCTGCACCCACTGTCCAACATGAGATGATGAGTCCCAATGAGATGAGCCAGGTACCTCAGTTGGAAATGCACAAATCGCTTGCCTTCTGCGTTGATCTTGCTGGGAGCTGCAGACCAGAGCTCTTCCTATTCGGCAATCTTGCCAGCAATCGGAAATCCATTCTTCTTCTATTTTACATATGATGCATTTATAGCAGTTAGCTTAAAGATTTGATTATCAAAGAACAGTTTTTTAAACTATTTTGGACTATATACAGGGACTGATGAAGAATTACTAACTTAATACATGACACCTGCATAAACAACTTTCAAGCAATTAAAATTACAAAATAAACCCAAGTTTAGATCCAGTCAGTCATTTAACCTTTATTTAATGGATCAGAGGGCATTTGTTGGATTTGGGGCATAGTCATGCTGGGCATAGTCATTTTGGGCATAGTCATGCTGTTCTATCTTTTCTTATCAGTTACTATTGAGAAAATAAAGAGTCATCAAGGAGAGATTTGGGTAAATGAAATTTTAAGAATAAAAACAAAAATAACTTTATGACTAGGACCAAAAATTTTTTCATAAGTTGCATTATGAACCATAACATTTCCTTTCATATCTACTTCTATTTGCTTATCAAAAACTGTGCTATGCTGTTCACAACAGCAAAGACTTGGAACCAACCCAAATGTCCATCAGTGATAGACTGGGTAAAGAAAATGTGGCACATATACACCATGGAATAGTATGCAGCCATAAAAAAGGATGAGTGCATGTCCTTTGCAGGGATATGGATAAAGCTAGAAACCATCATTCTCAGCAAACTAACACAAGAACAGAAAACCCATCACTGCATGTTCTCACTCATGGGTGGGAGTTGAACAATGAGAACACATGGATACTGGGAGGGGAACATCACACACCAGGGCCTGTCGGGGGGTGGAAGGCAGGGGAGAGATAGCATTAGGAGAAATGCCTAATGTAGATGATGAGTTGATGTGCGCAGCAAACCACCATGGCACATGTATACCTGTGTAACAAACCTGCACATTCTGCACATGTACCCAGAACTTAAAGTTTAACTAAAAAAAAACCCTGTGCTATAATGATAAATTGAAAATGCATCTTTTTCAGTGAATAATTTAAAATTAAAATATCCTTGTGTGTTCTCTTAAAGGAAAAATATATCAAATGCACTGTAACTCCTATTAGGCTTTAAAAAAAAGTCTAGAATCTCTGAGGTCCTCATGGATCTTGCTTCTAGAACCTAGAAGTCTTATTAATGGACTTGTTTGCTTCTCTCTGGGAGGTACTGTCTCCCAGAAGATAAAGGAAATCTCAATGCTGCAATTATCTGAAAAAGTTATAGCAAAACCAAAGCCCTTATAGAGAAGTGCTGTTGATATTTGGCAGTATTGAGAGATGACAAAGAGCTCAAGTCCTCTACTTGCATATCCATGGCAGTCTATCTTCTTGCCTTGAAAGCATAGGAGCCTCTGAGAATGCAGGGTAGATAATATCCTGTGGATTGATTCCCCAGCTTCACTTTGCATAACTATGGACTATAGTTCCTGGAATTACTTTAGTTTTGGCAGAATGTGATTTGGAAAATTCACCTTGACTCTCTTCTAAAAAGAATTATAAATTTTTTCAGGAAATCAACTACTAAGAAAAGGACCGTTTTTAAAATAAAGCAATGAGGCATATAAACCGCATTTATCTATGGGAAGAATCTAAAGCTGGAAAGACAAGTGTGCATTTGTGGGGGATAATTTATTTTATTTCAAAGTAATTATTTTTCAGTACTTATAATTATGACAGTCATTAATTAACTTTATGTTTACCCTTTCTAGAATCAAAACAATAAACAGAGGAAAACATTGGAATTCTGCTGCTTCATTTTTAAGAGAATCTGACAAGTTACTAAACAATACAAGGTAAAAGTAACTTTTAAAACATGTAAGTTTTGAAAAATAAGTCACAAACTGACTACTTGTTGTTGGCTTCTCCAGGAAGAACTCCCTTTTCCAGGTAAAAAACAGTCATCAGTAATACATTTATTAAAATTTATAATGTTATAATGTTTATAACATTTATGACATAAATTTATTTTAATAAATAAATTTGTTTTTTACATTTTTCTCTGATTCTGCATGCTCATTATTCAACTTTTTTCTATATAATAAAATGTATTGAATTATTATCATTCACTAGATTCAGAACATTGTGTTGACAATACACAGCAAACAAGCTGAGTTTGATGTTAAGGATATTATTGTCAAGTAAGGAATAATTAATATTTAAGAATAATATTATAATGTTGGAGTGGGTTTGATAGGAATAAATCTTGTAAATTAAAATAATCTGTGTTCTTACCTCTAGGTGAGAATAAAAGGAAGATAAATGAGATATATCATTTTTCAAAAAATGATGTTTCATGCTTTCTTTCACTTCTTAAATATCTTACACATCTCCAGACCCTAAGTGCAATCTCATGTAAGATCTTACTACTTTTTAACATTTACATATTTAATTTTTGATAAAACTGGTGAATATTTTATTTGATAATATATTATGCAACTTTTCGCTTAATAATTCTTTGCTCAGGCAAAATATTCCGTTTCTCCAAGATTTCTTTTTTCTCTCTAAACTTTTAATAGATTGATTCCTCTCCTCAACTGAGAATGTTTTGTCCAAAAGCAATCATATATATTATTAACCTTCAACCTAATAAGCACTATTTGGTATGAACAGTGAAACTGAGCACTGAGAAGTATAATAAAAATAATGGCTAACATTTGCTGAATACTTACTTTACCATAAGCGGTGCTAAGTGATTTATGTAGATATGTCATTTTCTATTCCCAATAAACCTTTGAGGATTCTCGTTTCCATTTTATATATGAGAATACGGTAGCATAGAGAAAGAACATAAGTAACATGTCCAAAGTCCCATTTAGAAAGTGAGAGAAGCAGAAGTGGAATCTAGATTTATTTTAATCTAAAGCCCATACTAACCACCGCAGTATTAGATAGTTTTTATGTTTTTCTCTGTTACTGCATAATCATTACCATTCAACTCTTATCTATGATAAATATGTATTGATTAATTGCCATTTACCAGACACATAAAGTTATGCTGACAATACATGGAGAACAAATTAAATTTTGTCTTAAGTAAGTTATTGTCAAGTGATGAATAATTAATATGTAATCTCAATATTAAAATATGGGGTGACAGTTGGTCTCTTCCAATTGCCTTTAGATGAGACATTTTGACCCAGGTTGAAGAATTAGAGATTTTATTTTGAAAATATGAAATTTTAACTAAACTCTAAAGTACAAGCAGAAGTAAGGTAGGGGAATAGGAGGGGCCCTTTATCAAAAGGTGATATAGTACAGTGATTAATCATTAATGATAATTAAAAGCATAGATTCTGGAGCCAGTTTTCTTGGCTTCAAATCTTGATTCTGACTCTAGTAAGTGAATTTCAGCAGACTTCATTTCTCTGTACCTCAATTTCCTCATCTGTAAATTTGAGAGTATACTAATACCCACCTCATGTTATTATTGTATGGATTACATGAACTATTATGAAAGCGTTTAGAAAAATGTCTGCCACATAAAAAGTGCCATATACATATTTTTTATTATTGCTGCCTACACAGAAACATGCACATAAAGCCCTTAGGGCAAAGAAAGATGGCTTGTATTATGAATATATGTAATTAAAAAATCTATTTGAGTGGTAATGAGTTAACAATGGCTACAAAAGCTGTATTCAGGGCAAATAAAATTATAATAAACAATGTCCCCATTTGCATCCTTTGCAGTATTAATTTCTAAAGTAACTCCTTTATCTGTAGAAGGCTTCTACTGTAGATCTGTTCTTAAAGAACTACAAGTCACATGGGCACATAGAGTGGAAAAAACACACACTGGAGCCTTTTGGAGGGTGGAGGGTGGGAGGAGGGAAAGGATCAGGAAAAATAACTAATGGGTACTAGGCTTAATACCTGGATGATTAAATGATCTCTACAGCAAAACCCCAAGACACAAATTTACCTATGTGACAAACCTGCACTTACATCCCTGAACTTAAAATAAAAGTTAAAAAAAAAAAACTTCAGGTCTTGGGATCAAGAAATGAAAGGAAGTTTTCTTTATGAAAGGGTTCTGATGGCCCGTCTGGGAAAGAAATTCTTGAATATGAGTACTAATAATTTTGTGCTTGGTATATGACTTCCATCAGAATCCAGTTTTCATGACCTGCAAAAGGTAATTGTGCTTTTCAAGTAGGTTTTATTTTTTTTAACTCAATCACTTTCTTCATATCTGTTGGTACTCCCAATTAAGCCCCCATTTCCCTAAACTTGACTACTAATATCTACTACTGATACCCAAGTATCTCCAAACCCAAACTACCTCATGTGCTTCCCAAAGTCATTTAATAAATTAGTTGTGCTGTTTTCCAGTCACTGCTTCATGATGGTGAAGTTATTGTGCAAAGCATGAGTGGGAAATGTATAGAGAAGTGATCCTTGTAAATGTGAAAGGCATTTGGGTAGAAAAGCATTAGATGCAGAGGTAAGAAACCTAACTCTACCACCTAAAGAATTAAGAAATACAACCAATCTTTGGTTTCAGCAACAATTGGTTGGCTTTAAGTCACAGCATATTTATGAGGCTAAAATGAATAATGATTGTAAAATAGCTTTGTAAATCCTAATACTATTAGAAATTATTTGTAATGCTAGGATCCATGCCAAGAGTTTATTTGTATATTTTGCCTTGTGCCTCTCAGCAGGTTTCTACCATGGGTGACAGGGGAACAAGCAATCGCTCAGAAATGACTGACTTCATTCTTGCAGGCTTCAGGGTCCGCCCAGAGCTCCACATTCTCCTCTTCCTGCTATTTCTGTTTGTTTATGCCATGATCCTTATAGGGAATGTTGGGATGATGGCCATTATTATGACTGATCCTCGGCTGAACACACCAATGTATTTTTTCCTAGGCAATCTCTCCTTCATTGATCTTTTCTACTCATCTGTTATTGCACCCAAGGCTATGATCAACTTCTGGTCTGAAAGCAAGTCCATCTCCTTTGCAGGCTGTGTGACCCAGCTCTTTCTCTTTGCCCTCTTCATTGTGACTGAGGGATTTCTCCTGGCGGCCATGGCTTATGACCGCTTTGTTGCCATCTGCAACCCTCTTCTCTACTCTGTTCAAATGTCAGCACGTCTCTGTACTCAGTTGGTGGCCGGTTCCTATTTTTGTGGCTGCATTAGCTCAGTTATTCAGACCAGCATGACATTTACTCTGTCTTTTTGTGCTTCTCGGGCTGTTGACCACTTTTACTGTGATACTCGCCCACTTCAGAGACTGTCTTGTTCTGATCTCTTTATTCATAGAATGATATCTTTTTCCTTATCATGTATTATTATCTTGCCTACTATCATAGTCATTATTGTATCTTACATGTATATTGTGTCCACAGTTCTAAAGATACGCTGTACTGAGGGGCGTAAGAAGGCTTTCTCCACTTGTAGCTCTCACCTGGGAGTCGTGAGTGTGCTGTATGGTGCTGTCTTTTTTATGTATCTCACTCCTGACAGATTTCCTGAGCTGAGTAAAGTAGCATCCTTATGTTACTCCCTGGTCACTCCCATGTTGAATCCTTTGATTTACTCTCTGAGAAACAAAGATGTCCAAGAAGCTCTAAAAAAACTTCTAGAGAAGAAAAATACTATTCTTTGATTATTATTTCTCTTTCACCAATGGTACTGTGGCTATTTATTTAATACACCTGTGGTCATTAATAAAAGTTACCCTCCTAAATGTCATAAAAATACTCTTAGTAAATTGTTTCATGTGATGTATTCTTTCCATATTTTACTTTTTATCCCCAAGATATCAGTAATTCTGAAAATCTTGGATGTTGGAGACACCCTGAATATCAGGGAAGTATTTTTATTGATAAACCCTCTCCCTGGTCTTCAACATTTTATTTCACGTAATTTATATCTGTTGATTCTTGTGGCATACTGTAGAACAGCATTTTGAGTTTTGTCATAGTGCTTTAGCATAGTTTTGCCTGGTTTTCATCTTTTGGATTGCCCATCCCTCCTACACACAGTCATGGGTAGTTGACGAATCCTTGGGCATAAAACCAAAATCCAGACATTTTGCCAAAAGTACTTATAGAGATCACAAAGTGGGGCTCCTGAAAGAACGTGGTTGGTCATCAGAGAAACCCTTCCTGGGCTGCATGGAAGATTGATTAAAGGGGGATTGGACTGAAGTCAGGAAACCTGCTAGAGTCGTTTATAATGTTAATATGGGCTTCAAGCCATGCCAATATTAATGAGCAAAGACAGATTTTTTAAATCTGGAAAACAGTGTGGCAATTTCCCAAAGAACTTAGAAGTATCGTTTGACTCAGGAACCCTATTATTGGGCATATACTCCCAAAATATAAATTATTTAACCACAAAGGCATACACACATGTATGTTTACTGCAGCGCTATTCACAATAACAAACACATGTAATCAACCTAAATGCTCATCAATGATAGACTAAAGAAAAAAAGGAGATATTGAAGTAACACAGAAATTAGAAAGAGTAAGCAGTCATATGATCATTTCATAACAAAGTTACAGAAAAAGGAGATATTAAAGTAACAAAAAAACTAGTAAGGGCAAGCAGTCATATGATCATTTTGTAACCAAGTGAAGGCTCCACTGCTCACCACTTGCAAAGCCAATGACAAGGACAAAGAACAGTGAAAGGAAAGTAACTTTCTTTCCAAAACTAACAATGGATAAACAGCCAGCTCATAGCTCTAACTTTAGGCTGAAGAGAGGGGCATAAAAGGAGGAGCTTTATATGAAAGACATACAGGAGTTGTTCTGAATACAAAGTCTGTGTGCCTTGTTTCAGAGGCTCCATCCATGTTGCTGCAAAGGTTGTGACTTCATGCTTTATATGGCTGCATAGTATTCCATGGTGTATATGTACCACATTTTTTCAGTGCTTTCATCGACCGTTAACTTATTCTCTGTATTAATTTTCTGACTAATATCAGCATGGTGTTTACAGTAGAGACAAGATATGAGTTCCTAAAAGTAAGGGTTATAGTCTATTCAGATTTTGAAAACAGTGAATATCTCTTTGTATAAATTATGTGAAAAGAAGAATCAAGCACTTATGCAACTGTTTTTGTTTTATTATTTTGTTCAGTAAGTATAAGGTTATTCCACTTTGATTTCTATGTTCAAATTCCGAAGGGAGGAAAAGAGTTAAGGAAAGATGGAAAAAAGGTTGAGAAGAAAGAAGGCAAATAAAAGTCTGATTTCATTGTGGTTAGAAAATGTATACAAAACCAGTATTGCTTTTAGCAGACAAGAATTTATGTCACAACTAAAAATTTATGTGGCCATAGAGGCAAAAATAATGAAAGACATAATAATATGAGGTTGATATGTAAAATGATGAAGCTTTTATCAAGATCTTAAGATTTCCTTCTAACATAAGACATACAATATTATACATTATTTTTCTATAGTAAATAAACTAAATAATTATTAAAAATAAAATAAGACTATTAATTTAACTTTATTTTTATTATAAATAAAAATCTGAAGTAAACTATAATGTCTATGAGAAATATCTTCCACTAAGGGAGGTAACTTTCAGTGGCAGTAATAAAATCAACAAACAAAACAAAACTCCTCCTGTTTCCAATACTTTCCCAAAATCTCCATTTCCTCAAAGTATACTTTGAAGGAAATCTGCATTTTATTTGCAAAGAAGTATATCTGAAAAGACTTACCAATCAGATTGAACTCTTCACTAGGAAGACTTTTTAAAAATAGTAATCTATTCTTTTTGTTCACTGGTATTTTTTAAAATATGGGAAACAATACAATGAATATTTATGTGGGTTTACCAGTTATTTTTATTAAAGCATTATTTATTTCCTTCATTTTTACCATCTCTCCAGTTTCATCTATGTCTCACCTATGAAGAATGAGCTAAACAGGAGCAACTCAAAGGTGTCTGAATTTATTCTGGTGGGATTTAGAACACTCCCAAAGCTACAGGTCTTCTTATTCCTGGTGTTCTTGATGTTTTACATGGTTAATGTGGTGGGAAATACAATCATGATAACTGTAATGAAGATGGATTACAAGTCTTTGCTATTGTGAACAGTGATGCAATAAACATATGTGTGCATGTGTCTTTATAATAGAATGATTTATCATCCTTTGGGTATATACCCAAATGTCCATCAATGGTAGACTGGATAAAGAAAATGTGGCACATATACACCATGAAATACTATGCAGCCATAAAAAAGGATGAGTTCATGTCCTTTGCTGGGACACAGATGAATCTGGAAACCATCATTCTCAGCAAACTGTCACAAGACCTTTTAATACAGAAATGTAGATGCAAATGATGTTATGTACACATACATGTATGCATACATATATGAATATATGTGGCTGTGTACATATACATATATACATATGTATGTCTGTCAACTAAGAGACTACCAGCAGCTAAACAGCAATAACATTGAATGCACATCACCCATATCTTGATTTCTCCACTAAAAGGAACTAGGGATCCTTGGAGAAAAGGCTAATTTCATATCAGATGGGCAAAGACAGAAAAATATGATAGGTTGTTTTGTGTAAAAAAGTATAAAGTTTTAAAAGAATGTTAGAGATAAGTCAAAAACAAACATAGAAGCTAGCTCAAAGAAACTCCCACCGGTTAAATTGGGGACAATTTGAGCAACAAAATAAATAATGTCAATAATATATTATAACGCATTAAATAGGCCAGGTACTAAGGCTCACACCTGTAATCCCAACACTGTGGGAGGCCAAGGAAGGCAGATTGCCTGAGGTCAGGAGTTCAAGACCAGTCTGGCCAACATGGTGAAACCCCATCTCTACTAAAAATACAAAAATTAGCTGGGCATGGTGGTGTGTGCCTGTAATCCCAGCTATTTGGGAGGCTGAGGCAGGGGAATTACTTGAACCAGGGAGTGGAGGTTGCAGTGAGCTGAGATCACACCACTGCACTCCAGCCTGGATGACAGAATGAAACTCCATCTCAAAAACAAAAACATTAAATAAAATAGAAAACCATGAGTTCATGCTGATATAAATAAATAAATTGTTCAAAACTTAGAGAAGTAGAATATCTATATGGACTCACAATATTTAATAAAAATACTAATTACAAAAAAAGAAAGTAAATTTACAGAGGATAAAGATAGCAGATACTATTTTAATCAAATGATCAAGTAAACATCACCAGGTTTGGGACAGATTGACATTGTGTGCCACTGAGAGAACATAATGTAAACATGACTCACTCCACTTGCTTGATAGTCCTGCCAAGGATACATTCCTGAATTCAATCATTAAGAAAATCAGAAAAACACAAATTGAGGGACATTCTACCCAATAACTGGCCTGAAATCATCAAGAATATCAAGACAAAAAAAATCAAGGAACATCAAAGAAATACTGAGGAAATGTTCTATATTTAAGAAGACTTACACATACATCTGGATGCAAAATGTGACTCTAAACTTTAAATATTACCTTTCCTTTTACTATCAATGATGGCTTTGGGACAATTGGTCAATTCCGAGGTTTAGAAGATAGTAAAGCAATCCCGATTCTAAGTACAGAAATATGATTATGCAGGAGAATGTCTTTGTTGGTAGGAATTGCACAAGAAAGTGTCTGGGGAAGATGGAGTATTATGTTGGCAACTTACTCTCAAATGGTTTATTTTAAAAGATTTTTATTTTCTGCCAGAAATTCTCTATAAGTTTTAGATTATTTCTAAATTTAATGTTTCTCTAAACTCATGTTTAGCTTGTGATCCACTTATATAGCACTACCCTATAGCACTATAGTACATTTTTTGACCAGTCAAGGGTATTTGGAAATAGGTTAAAAATATCTTTCATGTGAATGGAAGATATACTCTGCTCCAACTGTGAGAAGGAGAATATTGTCTGAGTTTACTCTATATTTTTAGAGCCCCTTCCTTGCTCAGCTTTCAAAATCAAGTGTTCCGGAAAATGCCCAGTCTCTCTCCAAAAGGCTGGCTGTGTATTGTCCTTATATTTTACTCTCAAATTCAAGAATATTTTTACTTGGACAAATTTATTACAAGGCAACATAGAGCTGCAAAGAGAGCTAGGAAAAAAAATCTTTCCTACAGAGAGACAAATGCTCTGACGAATTTGATAATTTTTAAGAGAAATAATAGCAAAATGTATAGCAAGGGACGCTTAACATTCTCCATTAGAGACACATAGTTTTTTAACAGTGTATGAGCCAAACTCATTAATTTAGGGTCATTTTTTTCCCTAAACTTCTCTAATGCCTATTCTCAAGCCCACCATTCTCATTGCCACTTACTCTCATTTGTCATCTGGCTCCTGTCTGTGACTGTCAGGCAGACTCTGGTCACATGCTCATTTTGCTGTTAAACTGAAACTACTAAAACTACTGTCCAACCAGTTTGTGAATTTACCACCCTGAACACCAAAGTCAAGATGCTTCCCTGGAGATTCCTTGACCTTTTACAATCTGTTAGCCTCTCACAGCAACACTAGCTCGCACCTAACTTGCAAAGTGGTCTTTTCCCAAGGCCTAAGGGTAACAGAAAAAGGTCAAAGAAAGTTACTTAAAACTGGTGCTAGACCTAACACTTTTAAATGTCTCTCAATAACCTCACCACAGAACTTGTCACTGCTGTATTTTTGCCAGTGGCTCTCACATCTGCTATGGTTTTGTGCCCTCTTTATCTCTCCTTATAATCTCTCTGCAATTGCTAGCTCACTTTGCCAACACACTTTTAAAATCATGCCCAGCTTACTTTGAGCCATCTATTGTATGTCTCAAATTTAATTAAGGTTCTGTTAAACATAAATGCTGCTGACTTAGACTTTCTGCCCTTGGTCATGCAAATCTCATGATGAATCCAAACTTCTCATTTTTTTTAACATTAACTAAATCAAATTCCTACAGATGGCTCTCTGTCCTGGAACAACCTAATAGACAAATATTGCAAAAATGCTGTATATCCCCACCCTCTTCTAGTTAACTCAATAATACAAAATTTGCTATAATATTTTTAAATAGTAAGTAAACTATTTTATAATATTTTTAATCATATCTCCAAAATTATCTCCAGCATCATACTAATAAACTCCTAAAGGTATTTCTATTAAATCTTTAATCAATTAAGAAGGCCTACTTTCATAATTATTTAATATATCCTGGGTAGGTGCCCCCTGAGATGTTAATAAATTTTGCATTTACCAGTGACCAAGAAAACAACCAGTGGCTTTCAAATCAACTGTGATGTTTCTCCTTAAGAATGTTCATGGGACAATAGTAAAGTTAAAGCAATCTTCGTGATACTAGTAGTAATGATGGAGTGGCAGACTTCAAATTGTGTCATTTGACTGAGAGAGCCAAGAAAAATTTCATTTAAATGATAATAGCTGCTTTGGCTTATTAGTCAAAAAGATGGATGTGGTACAGTGATCTCCACCTATAGTTAGTTAATCATGGGGAATGAAATAAGTGGGTACCCCAGAGACAGAGAGACACACAGAGAGAACCAATCTACTCAACAGAGACCTAACTTAAGCCACTATCATTCACAACCTGTTCATTTTCCAATTCTGTCAGTCACCAAAATGAAGAAGTCTAGATACCCCTGAATAAGGTTCTCGTTTGAATACCAAAGATATGAGCTGAAATCCTTCCAACAAACCTTCTCTGAATATTTTGGTGGCTGATTTTTGGCTGACTAAACACTAAAGAAAAGTATACACCCAAACATTTTGTGGACCTTTAGAGATATTTGGATCCTGTTTTAGAACTACCACCAAATCTTAAGAACACAGAATGTTACCCAGGCTACTCATCAGAATGAAGGACTCCAGAGGGAAAGACAGGAAATGAATGGGGTTTTGATGTGTCTTCATGTCCTAACAGGTATCATGGAACCTAAAAATCCATAGTGCACTTTCCACTTCCTAAGTGTACATGTAATTGTGGTATAAGGATGAAGAAATTGGTAAACGTGCACAGTTGATCCATGACGTAGAGTAAGGACTAATAAAGTAATGAGGGACAAATGGAATTTCATGGAGCCCCTTGCTAAAATGCTCTATTAAAAGCTCTACAGATCACAAGAGGAATAGCAGAGAATTAGTGTCACCAGCAAAGATGAAAAAGAAATGTGACGCTTTCTTCATATTTATCATATAGTTTAGCCAGTGAAAGGATAGGGCTCTTGAGAGTCAGTTTAGTTTATCATAATTTTATCAAATGATGTGTGTAGTGGTAGTTATTAAAACAGATATGATTCTTAATAGAACAAAAACATTCTGTGCATGATAATATATTATTTATATATTTATTTAAAAATTTTTCTCCTTTCTGCCGAAGATAGAACAAAATCACTTTGTTTGTACTTTACAACAAAAGAAATAAGTATTTGCCATCCTGCCTCAGCCTATTCTCTATTTTCATGTGGTCCAAAAGAAATTGAGGAGCTGTACTCTTTCATTAATTCTGCCTCCTTTTTAAATAAGGAAAAATAAATGCATGTATTTCCCAAACTCTCCAGCAGACTATTTACTTCAACTGATTTAAGTATATTTTAGTAAAATATGTTTCCAGTCCTGAACTAGTTGTTACTAAATGGGAATTAAAGCACCATAAGAGTAAACTAAAGATCTACCAGTGGTGATAGAAACTTTTCTGATGTGAGAATTGTCAGGAAGAAAGAAGACAGTGCCTCCCTATGTAGGCAACCGGGAGTATCTACTACACTACATGTACCCCACAAAATTAAAACCATCCAGGATGCAGATTAGAACAACCTCACTGGATATGGAATCTGAGCAACTGAGATCAAAGGCAAGAGAACACCAAATACAAAGAGAAGTAAGAAATGTGTCATCAAGAACAGAAAATGAAACACCGCATATTCTCACTCATAGGCGGGTGATGAAAAATGAGAACACATGGACACAGAAAGGGGAGTACTAAACACTGGGGTCTATTGGGGGGAAAAGGGGAGGGCCAGTGGGAGGGGGAGGTGGGGAGGGATAGCCTGGGGAGAAATGCCAAATGTGGGTGAAGGAGAGAAGGAAAGAAAAGCACACTGTCTTGCATGCTCTGCTCATGTACCCC